TTTTTTTCAAATAATTTTAATCGGAAAAAAAATTCTTTAAGAATTGTATCTTAAAGACCTATTTAAAATTTCCTGAAGATCTGTTAAGTAGTTCTCGAGAAATCTTGYCAACCAACTTCAAAAACAGAGTTTCGAGAAGAACGCGTTTAAAGACGCCACATTTATCCCAGCTAGTCTCGAGGACACATGTTCTCAAGACTGTATCTCCATAAGTATTACCCCGATCAACATGAAAACATTAGGACAATATTCAAGGGGTGTTGTAGAATTTGATAAGTCAATAAAAAAGTTTAATTTTTGAAACCCGTTAACCCATGTAACCCCATAATAGGCGTTTTTTCGTGATTTTTTCTGGAGTGGCATTTTATTTAATTAATTGATAGGYGTTTCATACAAATAAGCTCATAACCGAAACTATTTGCCAGATCCACTTCAAATGTTCAGAGAATGTTTTAAAATATACATCCGATATACAAACATATSTATGTATATKAAAAAGATTGATTTTATGAAATTCACAATAGCATTTGTATAACGCCTTAAATATCAACGAAAGCTATGATTTTAATCATTTTATATATTGTCTTAGAATTATAACAGAAAAAAGCTATTTTGAGCCGTTATATTCACATATCCGTGAAGTCAGGCGCAGTAAACGAGCTTACCGCCATGGTCAAACTGCAATTCTTTACAAATAATTTAACGCTAAGTGGCCATTGACAATTCAGTTAGTCTATGGGATCCACAAAAACATGGGATCCACAAAAACAAAGAACACATTCATTATTAACGCTATAAAATTATAACATTCTTATCGCTTTTTATTCTTAATATTAATTATAATCACTAGTTATATGCTATCTGAAAACGTTGATGAAGTTAWTAAGATTATATTGAACTTTGACTTTAAAATCTGCAAAACACACATATCTGTGTAAACCTTTTAAAAAATTCGGATAAGATAAGATTTCTCAATTTTTGCTATTATTAATTCTACTTTGACGTGTTTGAAGCTCTTAAAAATACTTCAGCAATATATAAACTCATTAATGACTGCTTTAAAGAGTTATCAGCAAATCCCCTGCTGTCAAAAAACAGTTAGTGTACATGTGCTATATCTATGAAAATGTTTTTTATARTGCCAATTATAAATTTTCTCTCTTTAGCATTGTTTATTAGTAAATAAAACAATTTAGAAATGAAATTTATTTCATAACACCATACTTTATTGCCACTCTCAAACAATTTATTAGAGACCGCAGGGGACTTGATAAATTCTACCACTGTTATTGCCAATTCTCACAAAAAATATTTATTTTATTAAATGATTTATTAAATGATTTTTCAGACATCATTTCCTCTGACCATAAACTCTGTACTAGTTAACACATCTATCAAATCCATACGATTATCGATTTCATCGACTCAAAATAAAATCATTTCTGATAAAAAACATTCTAAATGCAAATTTCATTCAAACTTGTTGATGTAAGCACAACCGATGTGCATGCTAACCTGTTATTTAGTATCCCTTTCTCCGTGATTCCCTTAGTTTGATCTTCTTTTCTTGATTATTTACTTGAATTTCGAAGTTTCATATTGATATTTTTATTCTTTTCTTTGGCATACATTTTATTAATAATAAATGCACTCTCGTAACGGAAAATTATTAAATTGAATTTACTTACGCTCATACTTGCAATAACCTCGGTACACGTGTCAAACGAAAACGGACTAAATTTAGGCATGTACTCCGTAAGGCGTTCTGTAGAGAAACTGTGCTGACTTAGATAAAATATAAACAAAATGTTTGGCTGAAAAAAGCTTTCCTTACAAGGACGACATTTTTATCGGTCATGTAGCAGATCTATGCTGTAGAGACACTCACACTGCAATGAAATGCGATTTAACAGTCATAGTTAAAATCATGGTAAGCTGTTAGCTAGCTCTATAAAAGAAACACAGGCACCGTGCGTTACCAGTGCTTAGGTGACCATCGCGCCATGAATGGTGTGATTTAACAGTCATGAGGTGACCACATGGTAAACTGGCTGTTAGCTGGCCATAGCTTAGGTGACCGTCACGCCTTGAATGGTGTTATTTAACAGTCATGAGGTGACCTCACGGTAAGCTAGCTGTTAGCTGGCTCTATAAAAGAAACGCAGGCACCGCGCCTGGCCAGTGCTTAGGTGACTGCCGCGTCGAGATGTGGTGTGATTTAACAGCCATGACGTGACCTTACAATAAGCTGGCTGTTAGCTGGCTGCCAGCTGACTCTGTAAAAGGAATGAAGGTTCCGTGCCTGGCCAGTGCATATTGTGGCTGTCGCGCCGTGATGTGGTGTGATTTAACAGTCATAAGGTGACCTCACGGTAAGCTGGCTGGCGCTGACTCTATAAAAGCTCCGTGCCTGGCCAGTGCTTAGGTGCCTGCCGCGCTATGATGTTGTGTGATTTAATAGCCATGAGGTGACAGTAAGCTGACTTTTAGCTCTAGTTCATCGATGTAATGTGATTTAACAGGCATAATATTTTTTCAAGTTCAAGTCAAGGCGAGATTTGAATTTTTCTATCTGATAATAAGAAAAGTCGAAAACTGTAAGGCCGAGGACTTTCCCGTTACAATCAAAAGTTCGTACTTGTAGAGACTGTATTAGATGTGTCTACCAACGAATTTTTCAGAGTACCAAGTAAATAAAAACATTGGTTTTATTGAACTACCCTAATATATATACATGCATACATAGCTTGTACGATGAATTTGTCAACAAAAAAAGAAAAAGAAAGCAAATTTAATTAGATTAATTTATTTAATGCAATTATCTCAGTCAATGCATTCTCCAATGTACAAATATTTGCTTTTTACGTCGTTGAATTAGTTAAAAGTGCTTAAATATATACTGAGTCTGAAAGCTGCATATACCAGAGTCTGAGACGTGAAACGTGCCCAGATGTGCATACATATACATACATATAAATACATCCTAAGTATTCGTGTATGTGATATGGATAAAGACACGTCAACTTAAATGTTTATAWGTATGATTACTTCAACAATTTGCGGCCAAAAACTGCGTCTGATTTGTAAGAGTGATATTTTAAGATAGAATTAAAAATACATAGGTACATTTATACAAATATATATCGCACATGTGTACGATAACACGATTCCTCACTGTTCAATTATTAATCACTCAAGTTTTATTTTTAATTTATAATTTTTTTCTCTTTTTCCCTCTCCAAATTTGCATTTACAGCGCCACCGAAGATGCCCAATTGTAAGTACAAATATGAAATCAATCATTTTAGGTGTTTTCGCCTAGAAYCCGATTAGGTCAATAAATTTAACGAGGTCTGCAGCTAGGTTAAAAAAACCAAATTATATACTACAAGTAACAACAAAAGTTAAAAAGTAAATACAAAAAGTAAATAAAAAATTTTTAAAATATATATACATATATACAAATTTAAAAATTAAAAATAAAAAAAGTACAATAAAAAGAAATGAAAATAGAAAAAAATTGCCAATAATACTCAAAATGCAAATTCATGCGGAATATGCATTAGCACATACAGTTATTTCTAAAGCCTTCAAACAATAGTTACAACGGTGCATTAAATAACTACTTAGATAAATAGCTTTGACAATAATTGGAATTGTTAAGCAAAAATTACGACTTAATGGTGTCAAGTGCTTGAAATCACAGACAAAGAAATTTTCCCATATATTATATGTATGCACTCCAAGCATTGCTGTTATCAGCGCCTAACCGGCCTAGTTAAAGAACCACCCGCCTATTTGCACGGTCAGCCCAAACGCCACCCTACCAAAGTGCAGAAGATAACACAGTTACATATTATAAATAAATAAAACGCGCAAATTCATGCAAAAATTACAATTTTATACAAACACATTACATGTGATGAAATTACACTGCTGTACAAAAGTTTCGGTCCAACAACGAATATTCACCATAAAAAAGAAAAAATTAATATTGCACAARACAATACTGTACTTCTTACACTGAGACGATCCCTTAATCTAAATTTCGCTATACTTGTTATAAGCCTCGACTGCGGTCGCCTTCAGTGCCTAGTGCGGATTCTGATTTTCGGAGACGGATCATTTTTGGAACGGCTTTCGCTAAATGCATTTGATGGCTTAGGGTTCTAAGCTAAGTTGTCCAGCATCTCTTTTTCAACCTTCACTTGACATTTTTGCAAAAAATTCTATCTTTTTGTACGAGTCTTGCATTGACCCTTTTCATAACTGATACATTAACCAAAATGATTCATAAGTGATGTTGAGATCATCTGTTAGCTCTCTGTTGCAAGCATAACCATTTTTAAGCACTGTTTCTTTAACTTTATAGTCATTAATAGTGGTGGCTGGTGGCTTTCCGCATGAGGCAAGACCCTCACTGAATGCTTCGTGATAAATTAGACTACCCAAAACACTTCTGTAAACATTTTCAACGATTCYGTCGTAATTCCATACCAAACAGATAATTTCTCGAACTCGTGTTAAATTTTTACCCGTGATAAAAATCGCTTAGCAAACCTTCCGGTACCTATATGTGGCAGCTGTTGTCATACACAAACGGATGGACATATGAAGATCAAACTTCACACAAACACAAAAATAGGTTATCCGCGCAGTCTAGATGGTGTAGTCCAAGTCCAATTTGATCAGAGTTCAAAATCACATTTTTCCTTTAATCATTTTATTTATTTGTTTTAAATAAAAGTACTTTTTGGGCGTCGCAATGAGGGTATATGCTATTTCTTACTTGCATACATACTTTTTCTAAGGAGCGTATTAACAATTAATTGCATAAAAATTACCCAGAAGTTGTGTCATGTTCCCGACAAATTGCATAACCACTCGCAATCTAATTATAAAAAAACAAGAATCGGACACCTACGTAAGCTTTTTGCATATATGCAGTTATCATAATTTTTCACATATGTAAGTGTCAATAAAAATTGTTGAATATTTCATAGTTTTCGTTTAACGAAAATAGTCGCCACAATAACTTCCTGAGGCGAACTCAAATTAAACGTAACGCCACTAGTCACAACAGAAATAAGTTCATACATACACCCATGCATACATACATATAAACGTATAAAAATCCAAATTTATGCGCGTACTCATGTGACGAATAACGGTACTTTCACAATTACCGATTAAATTCACTAGTGATCAGTTTAAAAATAGAAAAGTACGCTGAGCCCGCCATACAGCTTGACGAAACATTAATAAACCCATAAACGCTCACATACACACATATGCTATTTATATGTGTGTGACTAATTCTTGTTGAACATGGACTTACATATGATTTTAGACGAGAATGAAAGTACTCTGCAGGAAATTCAACGTCTTAAGTGTAGCTTAAATATGTTGTAAACTGAAAAATGTCGACTATTTTTTTGCGTTTCTTGATAAAAAAAAAAGCTCGTAAGCAAGGGTAAGCATTTAGTAAAGCAGCAGGCAAAAGGACGAGTATCAAGGGTCCCAAAAATTATTATTTTTTACTTTTCACTAAAGCTTTTTCCAAAAATAAAATTGTTACAGAGAGGGTTCTGAGCATTCCAGAAATATCGAAAACTTTTTCTTATGTTTATTTTATTTTTTTCGAAACCGAAAGAAAGTTTCTTTTACAACATATTTGAAAATTAGTCCTAAAAATATTTCCAGTTTTTTTAACAAAATATCTATGATATTTAAAATATGTATCTAAAATATTTATTGTTTGGTATTTAAAAATTAACAAATTTTTTAAAATTACTTTAAAAAATATTTAAAAGTTATTTCTAAAAAATAAAAAACTATTTCTAACAAAATATTCAAAAATCACTTCTAACAAATTTTCAACAATTACTTTTAACAAAAGGTTTAAAACTCACTTCTAAAAAGTTTTCGAAAATTTCTTTTAAAAAAATATTTTCAAATTATTCCAACAAAATATTTATGAATAACTTTAATAAAACATTTAAAAAACTCTTTAACGAAATATTATATTTCTTTTAACAAAATATTTATTGTTATTAAAAATCACTTCTAGCAAATTTTTTTAAATGATTTAAAAACAAAAATATCGAAAATTATTTCTCACAAAATATTTGAATATTAATTTAAATAATGCATTTAAAAATTACTTATAACAAAATACCAAAAAAAATTCTCTTACACATGTATTTAAAATATACTTTTAACAAAATATTTGAATAATTAGAAAAAAAAATCCTTTTTTGTGTTCCTTTTTATTTAAACTTTTTATTTATAATAACGAGTTTTATTATTTTTTTTCGCTTGAGACTATTTCGAATTTGTAATATTTTTTTTAAAGAACAGCAACATTCTTTAAAAATTTTGTTAGAAAAAATTTTTGTTACAAAAAATTTTACAGATTATTGCTCTCCTTTAAAAAAAAAGTATTACAAATTCGAAATAGTCTCAAGCGAAAAAAATAATAAAACTCGTTATTATAAATAAAAATTTAAAATAAAAAGGAACACCAAAAAGGCTAAGAAAAATAAAATTAAAATATAATTTAAAAGGCGTTGGGATACCAAAATCAAACCCGCTAATCTGCTTTCATATCATGCCGTGCCCTATAGGGTAGCGATAACCTTAACTTTCATTCACACTAAAATGTGGTCTTCAATTTTCGCAAACCAATACCAATACACGTTACATTTCGTATATCTATGTATCTCCGTGTATGCTACGCCACAAGTACTTTAGTTATACCGATTATATATAGTATTCGCGAGTACACTTGCTGCCTTGATCCACAAATAAATAGTTCAGAAACGCTTTAGAATGGATCATTCACAAGTTAGCCCTCACTTCCGTCATTTGCGGCGTTGCTAGCGGAAGTCTCCAACTTGTTGTAGAAACTGTATGGTTACACACACGAGTACGAGTAACGAGTATAAACGWGCATAATATCCGCGTCCGCCAGCTGGCATACTAAATATTAATTTATCTTTACATCAATAAGACGTGCGAAAATATTTAATAAATACATACATATGTGTGTGTGTGGCGAGGAAAGAAATATTTACGCGTAATTGAAATAAAATATAAAAAATAAAAATTGTGTTCAAAATTATAAAATCTGTGCATGGAAAAGGAAATTGCATAAACAGTGGTTTAAGGAAGCGTTTGTGCATTCCCTTTCATACAAAAAAAAATTTAAAAAATAGTAATCAAACTAAAAGTATTATTTTCGTAAATCTACTCTTAAATGAACCGCGTTCCACTAACAACGAGCTAAACGTTACTTACATAATTAAGCATATTTATTAAAAGTATTATTAAATTAAACTGAAAAAGGCAAAATGTTTGCGTGGAAGAGCGTGGYAAGCACGCGTTTTATGCCCATTGGCGCGCTTGTTATTCTAAATCTATGCGTGCGCGCGTGCTTTGGGCATACGATCCCAAGCAATGCGATGCAGAAACGACTCTATGATACCGTTGGGCCGGAAACTTGGTAAGTGATTAAAGGGAATTCAAGAAATAAAAAAGCTGAACGTTTATGGATAGAATCTAAAACAGTTAACTTGCCAACGGAATAGCAATAAACAGTTTCTGAATACCAGAAAACATTAAGCACTATTTTAAATTGTAATAAACATCAACTGCATTGCAATGCGGTTTTGAAAATTCAGATTTCAGATTTTTATTACCTACAACTTAGACATATAACTTTTTTTTGCATAGCATTTTTAGTTTTGCGGAAATCGTGTCTCTACCCTTAAAACCCTTAAAACTCAGTCGTTCTCACAATAACTTCCACCTTCCAAACGCAGATCGCTCGTAAATTAAGTTTTCTGCTATTTTTGTTAATTGTCTTTCCCTAGTCTTTAATAAATACTCGAATCATTATTAGAAAAGCTTCGTAACTTTTGTACACGTGAGTCTTCTTCAAAATTTCAAGTGAACTCTTCAAGTGAAAGTAGTATATTTAGTAAAAAAAACAGTCTTTTTCACTAATAACAAGGTAATTCCGATTTTTTTGGAAAAAAAAATATTACGACGACATTTCCGGTGATCCCTCGGAAAAAATATGAGCTCGCGTTGGCAGGTTAACTCCTTACAGGATCATCCAAAGTGAAAAAGTACGTGTTTCAGTTAAAACCTTAACTTAGAACTTGGACAAAGGAAAAAATCTGAATATTGCATTTTTGRCAGACATTTTTACATCAAAAATTWAAATTTCAGTGAAAATTTCGCGACATTTTTTTTTAACTAGTTKTAATCGAAAAAAAAATCCGTTCATCCAATTCTTTAAAGATTGTATCTCAAAGACCTGTGTAAAATTTCATTAAGATCGATTGAGTAGTTCTCGAGAAATCTTGCCAACCGACTTCAAAAACACGGTTTCGAGAAAAACGTGSTTAAAGACAAAACAAGCTCTCAAGGCTGTATCTCCGAAATCCCAACTATTACTCGGATCAACTTCTAAATTTAGGACAATATTTAGAGGTGTTATAGAAATTAATAAAATAATAAAAAATGATTTTTTTTTACCCCTAAACCCATGTAACACCTTTGAAGGAGTAGGCATCGAACCCATTAGAATTTAATTTTTAATTTTGTGATCCAACTCATTGTTTTACAAGTATATACTAATACTACCTAAACAGGTATCTTTTTCTGTCAAACACATGATATGTAATATTAGCGCATGCGGTTACCGTTCCAATATCCAAAAAAAAAAAAAGGAAATGAGCTGTTTATTATAAAGTGTAAATTATATTTATGTAAGATTCTGTTCTTAAATTTCATACACATTTCGTAATAACATCGTGTCCACTCGTGTTCTCGTCGCCAAGATTTCTACCCTTGTGGTCATCTGAAAGCATGCTTGRTTAGTACGAACGTCGCCATCTCAAGAAGCTACAAGACTGAAAAAAAAATTGCATAAAATGTCGGCTGCTCAAAAATACAGTTAAATTTTTCAATAATATTTAACTTTGTTGAATTTTTTTTTTAATATTGGTTAGTCGAAAAAGACTTATGGTATTTTGTTAATAGATGTCGTTGCAGTCGACTATCGAATCACTTTGTGTCATATCACATAATGTTGTTTTGAAATTTTTGTACAAAAAGGGAGAATGCCACCAATGAAATTTGTGAAGTTTCCGTAGACGTGTAGCACAGCAGTGGTTCGCTCGCTTCCGTTCTGGAAATATCGAAATTTCATTTTACACTGATGGAATAATATCTCTAGCGGAAAAATGGCAAAAAGTGGTCGACCAAAATGATTCATATTTGTTTATTTATTTACTAGTATACTATAAATATAAAAAGTTGAAGTTTGATTAGAAATACGAAAAAACTTTTTTCGACTACCCAATATTTCCGGATATCTAAACTAACGATTATGAAAATAAAATTTTTAGTTTTTTCAAATTTCTAGAGTTCTCCTTTAAAAAAATGCTTGAAATAGGTGCATAATAAGTGAGCGCTTCGTATGGAATTTCATAAGGCAACCTCAGATGAGTATTTTGCGCAATTCCTGCCTTAAATTCAAAACTGTACGTGCCTTTTTGTGTTAGTTAATTTATGAATTTGTTTCAGAAARCTGCTTCTTGCTGCACATGAAAGCATCAAAAAATGCATTTGACACTAGCGCAATATTTCAAGGTGAAATTTCAAAGTTGAAAACTCGCCATAATTTGCAATGAAATTATCGCTGACTGCTCTAAAGCAAGCATTAAATTGAATGAAAGCGCAATTTAAATGTTTGACATATGTGTCTACCGACATAGCTATATATATAGTATATATATAATATATGTACTATCTAAAATGTGTGTGGGCGCACTTGTGAAAAACATCATAAAAATAGATTTTTAGTTGACGTTAGTTACAAAGTGTAATTAAATAAGTTTTACACTTAAAAACACAAACAAGTTATTTATCAGCAATTTAAAGCGCTTTTCTTTCTGGGTAATAAAATAATAATTTTTAACGCAAAGTTATATCGTAAAAATTTATTAAAATGTAAATAAATTAAAAATTTTAACTCAAATTATATCGTAACAATTTATTAAAGTGAATATTTAATGGTCATTTGCTTGTTATTTTCAACAATAAAAATATCGAAGTTTATTGCCATAGATTTTAAATTCGTTGAAGACTCCTCTAACTTAGGGGAGAAGCAGAGTTGTACAAATAGAATCTCGAAAAGTCGTTGTATAACGCGCTCAAAGTAAAACTTAATTCTTGCCAAAACAGATATCGACGTGCATCAGTAGCGCTATAATACATGAAATACTTGTGTTATCCACAGAACTATTAAAATGCATTGGTATTACTCGGATTTCAATGGTACTTWGATGGAATTTCGAATTTACAAATTTCAAAAAAATATTTTTTGGTCCCTCTTACAACCCTAACGCTGACTTCGTACACAAGGTTTTTCCGGAAAGTAATAGAATTGAGTCGATTTAAAAAAAATTTATTGAACCAATCGTTACAATTTTTTCAAAATAGGCTCCTTCTGCATGCATGTAGCGCTGCCAGCGTGAACTTTCAAGCCTTGAAGGCGTCAMGGAATAGCCTTGAAAGCCGACGTGCTTACTGCTTGGATCCCTTTCATCAGCCTTTTCAGGCAAGGAAACAAAAACAGTCCGTGACCGAATCTTTCAATATAGGGCGACTGCGGAAGCGTTGGAATACCTGCCTTGGTAAGAGGTAGCTGTTCACAAGAAAGGCGGTGTGAGCCGGAGCCTTGTCGTAGTGCAACTTCCAATCGGCTGCGATGTCTTGTCGAATCCGATTGATGCTTCGTTTGAGTCCTTTGAGGACTTGCACGTAAAACTTGGCGTTGACGATTTGTTCATGAGAAACAAATTCATGTTGGATGACGATGCCTTTGATGTCAAAAAAGACAAAGACCATCGTTTTCATTTTGGATTTGCTCATTCTTCCGGTCTTCATCAGCGACCTCTTCCCGGCCCTCCAAAAAGGCCTGGTGCCTACGAAACACACCTGTAGACAGAAAAAATCTCTGACGAATAGTAATTAAACAGTAAGGTACAAACTTAGAACCTTGTGCCTACTACCCTTCGTCGTGTATCCCGCACTGATGAACCAATAAATCTCTGAAGTACAATAATTTGACCGTCTGTCGTATGAACGGTAAGGTACTAACATGGAACCTTTTGTTTACTACCTTTCGTTGCATATCTCCGGTTTCTTTTCTTAAGRTGCCTTTAATATTGGAACATATTTCTGCTTCCGTTTATCCAACTTCTGGTGTCTCTGAAAGGTCTTTAAATACTTTTCGGCTTCACACACTTTGAATTCAATGAAATCCTTTACGGAACTATAAAGTTTTAGTCATAAATTGAAAGTATCACTCAGACGTAAGAAAAATTAAAACTTTTACTATATATTTTTATACGAGTAAAACCGAAGATTTGAAGATATTTATACAAACGACGTTGGTGCAGAGCTTAGTTGCATGATGCTTTCTTTTTGCCGGGTCTATACACACATTTGCTTGAAAATTTGTTTTTGGTTAAAATGGTTAATGTATCCGTTTTTATTTCTCGCTAGCCAAATCTATTGTCATGGACCGCTGCTGCACACCGTACAAATGGCACATCTTTACCAGGACTCTAAAACGTTTGTGGACATGAAGCTGAAAAATCTACCGGAAAAAACTATGGAGGAGTTCAACGCGTTCATGCTTAAGTACAACAACACACCAACCGAGGCGGAGATACGGGATTTCGTTGATGTAAGTGGGGATATATATACGTACATACCTATGTAGATTTGAAGCCTCTTCAACAATATTATTTAGTTACTCTRCAATTTAACCCACTTTACTTTGCTTGCTCTTTTAGACACATTTCGAGGAGCGGGGTAAAGAATTTGAATCTTGGATACCGAATGACTGGAAGGAAAATCCTGAATTCTTGAACGCCATCAACGATCCAGATCTCAAACAATGGGGCTCCGATTTGAATGGTATTTGGAAGGAGTTGGGCCGCAAAATGATCGAAGATGTGCACAAGAATCCAGAATACTATTCGATAATACCTGTTGATAATCCAGTTATAGTACCAGGTGGTCGTTTCATTGAATTTTACTATTGGGATTCTTTTTGGATTATACGCGGCCTATTGTATTCGGAGATGTACGAAACCGCACGTGGCATGATCGAAAACTTGTTATCCATTGTACAGCGATTCGGCTACATACCGAACGGTGGTCGTGTTTACTACTCGGGACGTTCACAGCCACCATTCCTAACAGCTATGGTTAAGGCTTATGTTGACTTCAAAAAAGATTACAGTTTTGCTTTGGAAACTTTGGATACTTTGGAACATGAATTTGAATATTGGATGAATAATCACACCGTGCAGGCGAAGGGTTACGATGTTGCTATCTATACAGATGCCTCCACTGGTCCACGACCGGAGTCCTACCGTGAAGATATTCTATCAGCGGAAACTTTCCGCACCGACGAGGATAAGGAACAACACTATACCGAATTGAAAGCCGGCGCTGAGTCCGGTATGGACTTCAGTTCACGTTGGTTCGTCAATGAGAATGGCACAAATGATGGTGATCTGACTAATTTAAAGACACGCTCAATTGTGCCCGTCGATCTTAATGCGTTACTCTATATGAATGCGAAAATAATTGCGGAGTTTCATGACAAAGCAGGAAACAAAGCCAAATCCGCAGAATATGAAACGAAGGCTGCAAGAATATTAGAGGTTAGTATATTGAAGTATTATATAACGTTGGTGAGACCACTGTCCTTCTGTACATGCAAGAATAATGGCCAGAACGCTATATTATAAGGAAGAGCTCGATTTCCCGAGACAATTTGGGGTGGGTTTACGACTCTCCCAATATCATCTGCTGAAATGAAATAGATTAAAGATCAAATATCTTTTGTGGGTTGTTGTTGTTGTAGCGACAGAAAGTGCGATCCTGATCCTGAAGTATTGTCAAGGAATGGTACAAAGTTGACAGTCCTTGACTGGGTAAAAATACGGATCCTTTCCGGTTACTTAGGACCAATTGGACCGTTATATATACTAAATATAATTAGTTGCCTACCCGAAAATCGCAACTAGTCGTACAAAAAACCAACTGGGAACAAAAATAATACATTTATATCTTTTTAAATTTACTCTTTCAAGGCTATCCAAGCTGTACACTGGAATGAAGAAGCTGGTATTTGGCTGGACTACGATATGATAAATCAGAAACCACGTAACTACTTTGTATCCACCAATTTGACACCACTCTATGCGGGCGCATTTAATAAATCCGACTCAGAGAGAATCTCGGCATCTGTGCTAAAATATATTGACGATTTAAAATTGGACAGCTACCCTGGTGGCGTGCCGAATACGCTCGTGCATACCGGTGAACAATGGGACTTCCCTAATGTTTGGCCACCAATGCAATATATACTCGTTAGAGGTTTGGAGAACTTGGGCACGCCTGAGGCAAAGAAATTGTCAGAGCGATGGGGACATCGTTGGGTGAAATCGAATTTCGAGGCATACAAACAGACGCAGACGATGTTTGAAAAGGTTTGCAGCAATTGAAAAGTCTTTAAAAAATTATTTTTATTTTATTTTTCTAACTTTTGTCTTAACAGTACGATGCGTTACACTTTGGTGGCCATGGCGGCGGCGGAGAGTACGAGGTTCAGAAAGGTTTTGGCTGGAGCAATGGCGTAATTATTGAGTTCCTCACAAAATATGGTGGCGACTTGTCCCTATCGAATAGTGCGGCATCAACAGGTGACGATGCGTTTAAAAAATAGAGAAACTAAATTCACTTAAAAAATAGCAGAATATATAAAAAATATTCGCGACTCATTACAGTTCATTTGTCTTTGTTGTTGTTATTGTCTCACAGCATATTGCTAAATTATATAAATATATACATATATATGTATATTATATAATAGAGAATATTCATCTAAGATTGCATTGTAATTGTACAATAAATAAAATAGATAAACAAATTATTATAAATAAAATTGAAAATTTGTTTCATTAAGCGTTAGGACATACACAAATACATGTATATACAATGTAAACACACATAATAAATATTAAATATGCATTTATTCATACCACAAATGTTCTCACACAAAACTCTATTTCACCGTTCACTCCACGAAACCTGTAAAAATCGGTCATACATACATATGTGTATATGTGAAATAAATGTACATAAAATAAATGTTATATTTTCATTAAAAGTCTTCTTACTCATTGTTCACCAACACACATAACCAAATTTTTATTTCCAAGTTAGCAGAAAAAAATGTTGTTGTATAAATACATGAGCCAAACAATAAAACAGTTCCTAAGGAAGTAAAATCATTTAATTACTTTTAATTTTTTATAAAAATTAATTATACAAATTTAACATATATAATATTTGAACTTTTTGGTCCTTTT